GGCCTTTGTAGATTACTGTTTCTCTTTAGCCAAGAAAGAAAGAAAGAGAGAGAGAGAGAGAGAGAGAGATACAGGGGTAGAGAGATATTAGGACTGATGTCTAGTTTGGGAGGGTGGGGGGGAGGAAGGAAGGAAAGAGAAAGAAGGAGAGAGAGAAAGAAGGAAGGAAAGAAAGAAAAAAGAAAGAGAAAAAAAGATATAGGGGAGAGAGAGAGATTAGGACTGAAGTCTAGTTGTGGAGGGAGGGAGGGAGGGAAGAAAGGAAGGAAAGAAGGGAAGAGACAGAAAGAGAAAGAAAAAAGGAAGGAAGGAAAGGAAGGAAGAGAAGGGAAGGAAGGAAGAAAAAGAGAAAGAAAGACAAAAATAACTAGAAAATTCTTAGGCACCAAAGGGCAGGACAAGAAGTTAGATGTAAGATGTTGAGTCAATAGAAACAATGCAGAGAAGAACAACAAAGATGATAAGAATTCTGGAGGCTAAAGCATTCAATGTGTGAACTGGGTATGTCTAGTCTAACGAAGAGGAAAAATTAGGAGTGACATAACATCAGTCTTCCAATCTTTGAGGGGCTGTCACAGAGAAAGGGAGTCAATCTATTTTCCAAAGCACCAGAAGGCAGGACAAGAAGCAACAGATGGAAACTTTTCAGAGAGGGATCCAAATTCCTGACAGTGAGAATAATAAAATCAGTGAAATGTTACTAGATATAAAGATATTTTAAATGAAAAGGGTGAGCTCAAAACAAAACAAGAATTAAACGAATAAGGATTAGATATAAAATGGTATTCATATATGCAGACACAAAGAAGGTATGAAAAAGATATTAAAGATGAAAGGATTGAGAAAGAGTTGACAGAACTGGATAAAATACTAATTAGAGCAGAGGATAAATTGATTAAAAAACTATACTGTTATCTATTGAGTGTCAAGCTGGAAGAAGAACAAGTTAAAGAAACAATGATTGCATGGGCAATTTTTTTTGGACATGCTATAGAATTGGATAGGTGGCAGAAATTATGGGATAGGAATGATAAACCGACAATATCAACAGCATATAAGGATAATTTGTCTAAGATGTTTTATAGATGGCACTTATCGCCAGCGAGCCTAGCGAAAATGTCTAAAGATAAATCAATGAAATGTTGGAAATAGGTACGATTAAATGGGGACAGTAGGACAGGGATGGGAGGTACGATGGTGCACTTATGTACACCCCTTACAGACCTCTTAGGAATGAGGTGAGGTCAATAGTGGATAGTTTGAGGTTAAAGGAGTGGGGGTTTGAGGATGTAACTACAGAGTCAGGTAGTGCATTCCAGGCATTGACCACTCTGTGGCTGAAGTCGTACTTTCTGCAATCAAGTTTGGAGTGGTTAACATTGAGTTTGTATCTGTTGTATGCTCTTGTTTTGTTCGATTGACGCTGAAGTAGACATTGACTGGTAGGACATTGTAGCAGATAATTTTGTGTACTACGCTTAAGTCCAACTGTAGGCGGCGTAGTTCAAGATTGTCCAAGCCCAAAATTTCAAGTCTGGTGATATAGGGTATTCTGTTGCAAGCAGAGGAGTGTAGTACTCTTCTCGTGAAATACTTCTGGACTTGCTCAATTGTATTAATATCCAATATGCAGTGCGGATTCCAGACAGATGAGCTTGGTCTAGCAAAAGTTGTGTATGCCCTAGTTAGCAATTCAACATTTCCAGAGGAGAAGCTTCAGAAGATTAGATTTACAACTCTTAATGCCTTTTTGACAATGCTGATACAGTGAGCTCTGGCACTTAGATCATTAGATATGAGAACTCCAAGGTCCTTGACAGATTGATGACAGAATGTCATCAAATGCCAGGAATATATTATCATATGTGGTGGAATTGCACAGAGGCTAAAAGGTATTGGACTAAAATACATACATGTTGGAAAAAATGATTAAACAACATATAGATTTGAAGCCTGAAATATTCCTATTAGGAATGGTACCAGAAAGTTATAGTAAAGAAAAGACTTATTTAATTATACATGTTTTAACAGCGGCTAGAATTGTATTTGCCCAAAATTGGAAGAGTGATAAAATACCAACAGAGGGGAAAATAATTGAAAATATATTTGAATGTGCAGAAATGAATAGATTGACACTAGAAATCACAGAAAAAGAAGAAACTGAATATTATATGGTATGGGATCTGTTCTATCAATGGATAGAAAATAGAACAAATTAAAAAAGATTTGATGTATTATAGACTTAGAGAATTAGAGAAATTAATGTAATAGATATATTTGATACTATTATTTACATGGGGATGTGATTATTGTTGCATTGTTAGGTTTGATAAGAAGAACATTATTTATAATGGTTAAAGAACTGAAATATGTACCTAATTGACGTACGATTGAAATGGAATGGATTTGTGGTATATAAAAAAACAAGAAAAAAAAATCCTGACCGTGAGAATAATAAAATCAGTGAAAGGGCTTGCCTTCATAAGTTGTGGGTGCTCCATTAGTGGAGGTTTTCAAGAAGAGATTGGTCTGAAATGGAATAGGATCTTCCACCATTGGGTTGAACTAGAAGACCTCAAAGGTCCCTTCCAACTCTGGGTTATTCTGTCGTGATTCTGTAGTTCTTAGCACAATAAAAATCAACTCTGTGTCGCTGTTGATAAGGTGGCTATTCCACAGTGTTGATGTTTGACGAATGTAACTATTCCTTCTTCTCCCCCTTGTAGGTTCCGTTCTATTGTTTATCCCTTTAAACCAAAACTTACCGTATGGATAGCGCTTATGTTGATAGCCATCATCTGGGTCCTGGCTATTGTCATCATGTGCCCCTCTGCTGTTATGCTGAAGCTAATAGAAGAAAAGCATTTCCAGGTCATTCTTGGCGAGGACAACCAAACCCGTCCCATCTACTGGTGCCGGGAAGACTGGCCCAACGAGGACATGAAGAAAATCTACACCACTGTCCTCTTCGCCAACATCTACTTGGCTCCCCTGTCACTCATCGTCATCATGTATGCTCGGATAGGGATTACGCTCTTCAACACAGTGCTTGCCTCTGGGAAGCAAGGCCACGAGCGCCACTCCATATACAAGAAGAAGTTGAAGGTCATCAAGATGTTGATCATCGTGGCTCTATTATTTATCGTCTCCTGGTTGCCCCTGTGGACCTTGGCCATGCTGTCCGATTATGCAGAACTGGACGAGGCACAGTATAAGATCATCAATATCTATGTCTACCCCTTTGCCCATTGGTTGGCCTTCTTCAACAGTAGCGTCAACCCAATCATCTACGGCTTCTTCAACAAGAACTTCCGTCGAGGCTTCCAAGCTGCTTTCCACCTGCAGCTCTGCTCTGGGGAGGAGATACCTCGGGAAATGTATTCTCAACGGGCCCAAAGCAATGCGGTTTTGCCAGCCACCATTCCCCAGCAGATAGACCATGATCTATCCTCATGTGTTGCCGGGCGGTCCACTCAAAAGGGCAACTGGGTGGACAAGACGCAGGTTCTGGTGTTGGAGAATGTAAAACGTGCTTCAAACAACAATGACGCTAAACAAGACTTTCTTTGAACTACCTCAGCTGCTGGATGGATGTCCCGATTCAAGGTTTCTCAACTTTGGCAACTTTCAGTTTGGTGGACTTCAACTCCCAGAATTCTCCAAGCTGGCTGGGGAATTCTGGGAGTTGAAGTTCACACATCTTAAAGTTGCCAAGGTTGAGGAAACGTGGCCTTTAATGGATGCATCAGTCATGACATTCGAGCCCATCTATGGGGGAAAAAAAAATAAGACTGGTGTTTTGAGATCTTCTAGCTGTATTGAATCATTTCTGTCTCCTACAGGTAGTCCTTGACTTACAACCATTCATTTAATGACAATTCAGAGCTACAACAGCACAGAACAAAGGGACTTGCCACCAGTCCTCACAATTTTGACTATCAGAGCTCTCCTCCCCCCACCCACAAGTCACATGATCAAAATTTGGAAACTTGGCAACGGATTGCCATTTGTGACCTTCCCAGCTTGTTTCAGACAAGCAAAGTCAACGAGGGAAGCCAGATTCGCTTAACAACCATGGTGTCTCCCTTAATGACCATAGCAAAATAGGCCATGAAATTGGGCACGACTCATTTAACAAACAATCTCACTTGGCAACAAACTTTCCAGTTCTCGTTGTGGTTGTAAGTTGAGGACTACCTGAGGTTGATTTATTAGAATTTTGAGGGAAAGTATTTTTCCAAGATCCATAAGAAATAGGAGAGATTGTGTTATTTCTCTCTATATATAATGTTTGGACTATCCCACGGAAGAAGTCTCAAAGTGCTACTGGTGGATCCTTATAGGACGCAGTCAGTTGCCATATACTGTATAGAGAGTATTTTTTAAAAAGAAGAAAACCATTTTTTCAAGAGATGTTTATACCTGAAGAGTCGGAGATCATCACTTCCCATTCGAGAGTTCACATAACTCTGGGTCTCTATCAAAATATAAATTCTTGGATATAAAGAGTAAATCAGAGGTGGTCTTCAACAGGTTCTGACCAGTTCTGGAGAACCGGTAGCGGAAATTTTGAGCAGTTCAGAGAACCAGCAAATACTACCACTGACTGGAGATTTTACAGTATTTTTCCCCTGCCAAGCCACACCCAGAGAACCGGTAGTAAAAAAAAAAAAATTGAATCTCATCACTGGAGTAAATCCATTCCAGCATCCAATAGCCATAACTTACAGCAGAGATGGCCCTTTTATGACTTGTCATAAAGGGGACATAGTTCCCTACCCCTGACTTAGAGGATGGTACATAAACATTTAGTTTCCTGTGAGCTTTCTCTTAAAGGAAAGTGGGCTTAAAACTTACACAGGTTTTATGCATAAAAAGATTATGTCTGCTTTTCTTTATTTTGAGAGGGGAAGTGAGCAGCTCTCATGATTCCTCGAGAATAAGGTTCAATAATTAAGGAATGAAAGGTGTTACCTCAAAGTCCTTCTATTTGCTCTTTTAGGTGACTAATACAATCTTTTCCCCAAAATAAGACCGGGTCTTATATTAATTTTTGTTCCCAAAGTTGCATTAGGGCTTATTTTCCGCTTAGGTCTTATTTTCGGGGGGGATACGGTACTAAAATGCATCCGCCTGACTGACAGTCTTAACTGGGGCTTATTTTTGAAGTAGGGTTTGTATAATGAGCATCCTGAAAAATCACGCTAGGGTTTATTTTCCAGTTGGGTCTTATTTTCAGGAAAACATGGTAGCACCCCTCTGAATATTTTCTTTACTACTCTAGAACAGTGACCCCCCAACCTTTTGGGAACCAGGGACCAGTTCCATGGGGGGGGGGGTGTTCCCATGGAGCGGAGTGTGCTACCTTCATCCTGTGGATGGAGCGTTGCCTGTCTGTACAGCCCGATTTTTGGTATGCTGTGGCCCGTGGCTGGTTGGGGATCCTGCTCTACGCTTGATTGGGTAGAGGTTGAAGTCAAAACACTTTTGACTGGAGCGTTTTAGTTTTATTAAACTGCCTTCTCCAATTCAATCCCTCCTGGTTGCCATTGGGCGGTAACCAGAGGTGGTATTCATCCATTTCTGACCAGTTCTGGAGAGCTGGTAGCAGAAATTTTGAGTAGTTCAGAGAACCGGAAAATACCACCTCTGACTGACCCTACCAACTCCACCTATTCTCTGCCTCCTGAGTCCCAGCTAATTGGCTGGATCTTCTTTGATTGAACTGCACAGGAGAACAGAGCTGGAAAGCAGGTTAGTGGGGTGGAGAGGGAATGGGAATTTTGCAGTATCCTTTCCCTGCCACGCCCACCAAGTCACACCCATCAAGCCAAGCCACACCCACAGAACTGGTAGTAACATTTTTTGAATCCCACCACTGGCTGTAACTTCCATCTGAGAGTATCAGGGATTCGGGAGCTCATCCTCATGGGAACTGCAATCCCATATGCTCAAAGGCAGCGTGCTTTATTTATATATACCTGTACACTTTTACCTTGAAATGTAAAATAAGCTTCCATTCGCCTGCTTGCCAACGGCCAACAAAACACTTGCTTCTAACCACCATGGCAATTTATTTGGATATGTTAGAAAACACAGTAAAACCAGATGAGTGAATTTCAGCCAGTCCTTCTCTCATCTCAAGGGGTTATTCTTGTAGGGAAAACAGGAAGAGGATGGAAGAGTAGGAAGGAGTTAAAGAAAGAGCATTAGGAGGATAAAAGATACGGATGAATGGTTGCAGGAACTGTTTATTCTCCAAAGCCCCTGAGGGCAGGACAAGAAGCAATGGATGGAAACTAATCAAGGAGAGAAGCAACCCAGAATAAGGAAGAATTTCCTGAGAGTGGAACTACTTGCCTCTAGAAGTAAATGCTCCAACACTGGAAGTTTTTACGAAGAGTTTGGATAACCATTTTTAAAATATAAATTTTATTTGGGTTTTCACAAAAACATAATACAAATAAAACATCTTTTTTGGAGAATTAGCATGATCCCGGGTTATCACTTCTTCATACAGACACAAACTCAATTTCATATTCATCTTTGTGTTCTATTCCATATCTTATTACTGTTTTAACATTTTCTCCATAGTTTTTCCCCTCCCTTGGTTTTCTCCACTTTATTTTTAATTATCTATCTAAATTCAATTATCTATCTTTTTCTAAGTTTCAATGTCTTTCCAATCATTATGTTTATACTTTTGTCTGTCCTGTTTCAATTTCAGTTGAAGAGATTGGATAACCATTTGTCTGAAATGGTACATAGAATTTCCTGCTTGAGCAAGGGGTTGGACTAAAAGACCTCCAGGGTCCCTTCCAACTGTTATTCCATATTCTATGTCTAGTCTAATGAAAAATGGACTCGGGCAAAATGATAGCCAGTCTTCCAATATTTAAGGGAATGTCACAGAGAAGAGGGGGTCGATCTATTCTCCAAAGCACCTGAGGGCAATACAAGTATAATGGAAACTAATCAAGGAGAGAAGCAACCTGGACTAAGGAGGAATTTCCTGATAGTAAGAACAATTAATTAGTGGAGTGACTTTCCTTCAGAATTTGTGGGTGCTCCATCACTGGAGTTTTTAAAGAAGAGACCGGACAGCCATTTGTCTGGACTGGTATAGGGTCTCCAGCTGATACAGGGGGTTAGACTAGAAGACCTTCAAGGTCCCTTCAACTCTATTCTGTATTCTGTTAAGTACCTTTCAGATAGGTGAAAGGAGAACAGAACAATAAGGCATTTGTTAAACAGAGCAGACTTTTATTAAAGTTTATTTGCAACTTCTGGGCACAGGAAAAATGGCACACTCTGGAAGAACCTGATTTGAAACTTTAAATAATCTGTGAGATTGATTATGATAACAGATAAACAGAATTGGAAGGGACCTTGTAGGTCACCTAGTCCAACTCCCCGCCCCCCGCCCAAGTGGGAGACCCTACCCCAGTGGTGGGTAACCTTTTTGGGCTCCTGTGCCAAAAATTGTCTGCGTGCTTGCGCTAGCATGCTCACATGCCAGCACCCAGAAGGCAATGCGCACGGCCCCACACACCCCATGTGCATGCATGTGCAACCCCCCCACCGTCGCCCCCTTACCTGCACTGTGCCTCCCAGCTGATTTTCGGCCCATTTGAGTTCTTTTTCGGCCTCCCAGAGGCTTGAGGGAAGCCTCTGCAACCTTTGCAGGCCAAAAAAATGGGCCTGTTTCGTCACTTCTGGTATTTCCAGAAATACCAGAAGTGATAAAATGGGCCTATTTTTCGGCCTTCAAAGGCTGCAGAGGCTTCCCTCAAGCCTTTGGGAGGCCGAAAAAGGCCTGAAAATCAACTGGGAGGCACGCACATGCGCAGTGCAGGTAAGTTTGCCTGGGGCTCGCGTGCCCGCACAAATGGCTCTGCGTGCCACCTGTGGCACCCGTGCCATAGGTTCCCCATCACGGCCCTACACCATTTCTGACAGATGGGAGTCCAATCTCTTCTTGAAAGTCTCAAGTGATGGCGCTCCCACAACTTCCGAGGGCAACTTCTGTTCCATTGGTTGATTGTTCCCACTGTCAGAAAGTCTCTCCTTATTTTCAGGTTGGTTGTTTTCTTGCAGACATTTCATTACCCAATTAGGTAACATCATCAGTGCCTAGCACTCTTTCTAGAGCCTCAACATCCTTTTTTATAATGTGTGACCCAAACTGGATGCAGTATTCTAGGTGTGCTCTTGCTAAGGACTTTATAAAGTGGTATTAGTACCTCACTTGATCTTGATTGTATCCCTCTGTTAATGCAATTTAGGATTGCGTTGGCTTTTTTTCGGCTGCTGCTGCACATTATTGGCTCATATTTAACTGGTTGTCCACTAAGACTCCAAGATCCCTCTCACAGTTACTGCTATTAAGCCAGGTTTCACCCAGTCTACCTCCAAGGTCCTTTCCAACAGTTGTGTTATCCAGGGTTGTATTTCCTTCTGCTTCACATTACAATTGGCACGGAAGGCCAAGAGAATTGGAGTCGGGTTGGGTGGTTGGTGCATCAGCAGAAGCAACCAGCAGATCCTAATCATGGGTTTCATCTCAAACTCACTTTACTGAATGGTGAGTGAAACATCTCCCAGCATGCTCTACTTTTTGGGATTGTACAGTTTTGAGCCATGTTGGAGTACAACAACACCAACTTTCCATAAACAAA